TGACAGGTCCCAGGAGACTACAGGACCATTCATGAAGAGCAGCGCTACTCTCGCATGCGCAGTGGGTACCCGGCTGTGAAGCCGCAAGCTATCACAGCCGGGTGCCCACACTGAAGATGCCGGCATCCTGGAATACAGGACGGCTGGTGAAACGGGCTGCGGGGGACACACCACAGGACCGAGGGGCAGGTAAGTGGCTGTTTTTTTTTTAAAAGTCAGCAGCTACAGTTTTTGTAGGTGCTGACTTATATTTTTTGACAGGGTGAGTGGAACTCCGCTTTCAGGCCTGTTTCATACCGGCTTCAGCTTGTATAAGAGCAGTGTGAATAGCAAGCGTTCACAAAGCATTTCCAGAGCATTCAGGAAGCTTTGTTGAAGCTTTTAAAGTACCATTCAACTCCAGTTTGTAAGAACAGAGCTCTTAATGGGAATGCTTATTACCACTTCAATACCGAGCACTTTCACCTCCTTCCTGCTCAGGTCAATTTTCAGCTTTCAGCGCTATTGCACTTTGAAAGACAATTGCGCGGTCATGCAATACTGTACCCATGTGAACGTTTTTTTTTTTGTTTCACTCAAATAGGGCTTTCTTTTGGTGGTATTTAATCACTGCTGGGGTTTTGTTTTGCTAAATAAAATTTTCTAAATAAATCATGTTTCTTCATAATTTTAGGCCACAATGTATTCTGCTACATTTCTTTGGTGAAAATAACCCAAATCAGTGTAAATTATTTAGTCTATAGGAAAGTTATAGCGTCCACAAACTATGGTATATATCTGAAAATCAATCAATCCTGATGTACTGACGGCCGATCTCATTTCTTGCGGCCCATAAATGTCAGGACAGTACTGATACTCCCCAAATGACCCCTTTTTGGAAAGTAACAGTCCAAGGTATTCAGTAAGAGGCATGGTGAGTTTTTTGAAGTTTGTAATTTTTTTTTTTTATTACATTTTTTTTTTAACACACTGTGACCAGAGCAATACAGTATTACCATAACATTGTACTACTCTGGGGAGTGATCAGGATTTTTTTTTCGTACACATTATGATTGCCTATACCAGTGAAGCCATTTATTGTTTACAATTGTCAATGATCTGTTGTGATTAGTCACAGCGATTACATGGTACGGGCAGCGGCTCGGTGGTTACAGCTAGTGACAGACCGCCGGGCGGGAAGTGGTTAAGCAAGTTGCTATCAGGTTTCAGCACTTCTTGAAGCTTGTTGAAAGCTTTCTGAAGCCTGCTAGCAGCTTGCTTAAAGTGGCAGTCAACACTCCCAATAGGATCTGTCTTCAATGTTTACAAACTGGAGTTGAAAGTTTCAACAAAAGTTGCTCAAAGCTCTGTAAATGATTTGCCAAAGCTTGCTGTTCACACTGCTTTTGTACATGATGAAGCATGTGTGAAATTGGCCTTACACTGTCAATTTCTGTTTAGCCCTGCACACAATCTGGATGTGTCATAATGCTTAGGAATTTCACTATAATGGCTCATGCTCTTTGGTGCTAAATACTGCGTTCAGATTCATGATGGGTACTTTTTTATGGCTCTGAACACAGTTGTATGTTGTGCTTTGTGCTCATGCTCAGCAATCTGGGGTTGTGTCCAGCTTTGTTTTAAAGTAAAAGAAAAAATTGTGTGTGTGTGTGTGTATACATGCATCCTAGCAACTGCAGGCACTACGTGGAAGAAGCCACCTGCAACCTAGCAACCAAGGGTGCTAGGTGGCAGGAGCAGTCTGTGTCCCAGCAGGCTAGGGCATTAGACATCAGGAGTCGCCAGTGTCCCAGCAAATTAGGGTGCTAGGCATCAGAAGCCACCTGCATCCTAGCAACCCAGAGCACTAGGCAGGAGGAGCCACTTGCATCCTAGCATCCCAGAGCACTAGGCAGGAGGAGCCACCTGCATCCTAGCATCCCAGAGCACTAGGCAGGAGGAGCCACTTGCATCCTAGCATCCCAGAGCACTAGGCAGGAGGAGCCACCTGCATCCTAGCATCCCAGAGCACTAGGCAGGAGGAGCCACCTGCATCCTAGCATCCCAGAGCACTAGGCAGGAGGAGCCACCTGCATCCTAGCATCCCAGAGCACTAGGCAGGAGGAGCCACCTGCATCCTAGCATCCCAGAGCACTAGGCAGGAGGAGCCACCTGCGTCCTAGCATCCCAGAGCACTAGGCAGGAGGAGCCACCTGCGTCCTAGCATCCCAGAGCACTAGGCAGGAGGAGCCACCTGCATACTAGCAAACTAGGACACTGGGAGGCAGGAACTGCCTGCTTCCTCATTTACGGTGAATGTTAGCACAAACAAGACATGAATGAAGAGTAAGATTTTACATAAGATCTTGCAGAGAAAAGTCATAAGTCCTTATAAACCTTCATCTTCCAAGTCAAACACTTAAACACACAAAGTATCAGTGCCTACTAATGCCCTCCCAATATGCTCCTATCTATGCTCACTTGCTGCCTTCCCACTTTATCAGAACCCTTCCTCTGCAGCTTGAACATCTGAGTATGGGGAAGCATTTGCTCACCAACCACCCCTCCAATGTAACAGTGCTCAGACCTGAGTGGTCAGTCGCCAGGCTAGAACCCTGTTGCATAGGGGAGCCAATGACATGATCCCACCATCCACCCTGGCAAATGCCAACACTGAAGCTGACCTAGCAGTGGGAAGCGGTGAGAGAGTGTGGGTAGATAAATACATGGCTGGGGTGACGTTCTGTCAGGCGATAATGTTACTTTGCCGCTTACAGGAAGTTAGGATACGTCCTCCTAATGGTGCTCCAGAGAGCAGGAAAAAAACAGACAGGTTCTAACCCTCCCCACTTCTATCCAGGACTGAGAATAATGTTTTGGCTGGACATACAATTGAAACAAATTGCAACTACTTTCTATGCAAAGATACCTAAAGGTATATCCCATGATATCAATATAACATTTACGAAATCTGTGCTTTAAAACACAGGCAGTTTTATCCCTGTTACCTTTACACAAATAATAACTACTGGTATGTTGAGCTACTTTATCCTTTATCCAGTTGCTAATTTTGTTAATGGTCAGCTCAACAGGAATTTTGAAAAAAAGAAACAATATTTTTGACTTTTTGCTATTAACCACTAGCCTACAGGGCACTTACAGTGGGGCAAAAAAGTATTTAGTCAGCCACCAATTGTGCAAGTTCTCCCACTTCAAAAGATGAGAGGCCTGTAATTGGCATCATAGGGAGACCTCAACTATGAGAGACAAAATGAGAAAAAAAATCCAGACAATCACATTGGCTGATTTGGAAAGAATTTATTTGCAAATTATGGTGGAAAATAAGTATTTGGTCACCTACAAACAAGCAAGATTTCTGGCTCTCACAGACCTGTACCTTCTTCTTTAAGAGGCTCCTCTGTCCTGCACTCATTACCTGTATCAATGGCACCTGTTTGAACTTGTTATCAGTATTAAAGACACCTGTCCACAACCTCAAACAGTCACACTTCAAACTCCACTATGGTGAAGACCAAAGAGCTGTCAAAGGACACCAGAAACAAAATTGTAGACCTGCACCAGGCTGGGAAGACTGAATCTGCAATAGGCAAGCAGCTTGGTGTGAACAAATCAACTGTGGGAGCAATAATTAGAAAATGCAAGACATACAAGACCCCTGATAATCTCCCTTGATCTGGGGCTCCACGCAAGATCTCACCCCGTGGGGTCAAAATGATCACAAGAACGGTGAGCAAAAATCCCAGGACCACACGGGGGGACCTAGTGAATGACCTGCAGAGAGCTGGGACCAACGTAACAAAGGCTACCATCAGTAACACACTACGCCGCCAGGGACTCAGATCCTGCAGTGCCAGACGTGTCCCCCTGCTTAAGCCAGTACATGTCCGGGCCCATCTGAAGTTTGCTAGAGATCATTTGGATGATCCAGAAGAGGATTGGGAGAATGTCATATGGTCAGATGAAACCAAAGTAGAACTGTTTGGTAGAAACACAACTCGTCGTGTTTGGAGGAGAGAGAATGCTGAGTTGCATCCAAAGAACACCATACCTACTGTGAAGCATGGGGGTGGCAACATCATGCTTTGGGGCTGTTTCTCCGCAAAGGGACCAGGACGACTGATCCATGTACAGGACAGAATGAATGGGGCCATGTATCATGAGATTTTGAGTGCAAACCTCCTTCCATCAGCAAGGGCATTGAAGATGAAACGTTGCTGGGTCTTCCAACATGATAATGATCCCAAACGTACCACCCGGGCAACGAAGGAGTGGCTTCGTAAGAAGCATTTCAAGGTCCTGGAGTGGTCTAGCCAGTCTCCAGATCTCAACCCCATGGAAAACCTTTGGAGGGAGTTGAAAGTCCGTGTTGCCCAGTGACAGCCCCAAAACATCACTGCTCTAGAGGAGATCTACATGGAGGAATGGGCCAACATACCAGCAACAGTGAGTACCAACCTTGTAAAGACTTACGGGAAACGTCTGACCTCTGTCATTGCCAACAAAGGATATATAACAAAGTATTGACATGAACTTTTCACGTTGACCAAATGCTTATTTTCCACCATAATTTGCAAATAAATTCTTTCCAAATCAGCCAATGTGATTGTCTGGATTTTTTTTTCTCATTTTGTCTCTCATAGTTGAGGTCTACCTATGATGCCAATTACAGGCCTCTCATCTTTTTAAGTGGGAGAACTTGCACAATTAGTGGCTGACTAAATACTTTTTTGCCCCACTGTATACCCCCTTCCTGCCCAGGCCAATTTCAAGCTTTCAGCGCTGACGCACTTTGAATGACAATTGCGCGGTCAAACAACACTGTACCCATATGAAATTTTTATCATTTTTTTGTGACAGAGCTTTCTTTTGGTGGTATTTAATCACCTCGGGGTTTTTTATTTTTTCTTAAACAAAACAAAAACCACTGAAAATTTAGAAAAAAAAAGTTTTTTCTTAGTTTTTTGGTATAAAATTTTGTAAATAAGTGATTTTTCTCCTTCACTGATGTGCGCTAATGAGGCTGCACTGATGGGCACTGATAGGCTGCACTGATGGACACTGATAGGTGGCACTGATGAGGAGGCATTGACAGGCATCATTGATGGGCACTGAAAGGCAGCACTGATACATGGCACTGATAGGCAGCACTGACTGGCACTGATAGGCGGCACTGAAAGGCAGCTCAGATGGGCACTGATATGTGGCATTGATGTGCACTGATGGACACTGACAGGTGGCACTGCTGGGGCCACACTGATCATCAGGGCACACTGATCATCAGTTCCCTTATGATCAGTGTACATGTCCCCTCCGCGGAAAGCCGATTACCGGCTCTCCTCTCCTCTGTCAGTGTGACAGCTCGAGAGGAGAGAAATGCCGATAACCGACATTTCCCTGTTTACATGTGATCAGCTGTGATTGGACACAGCTGATCACATGACTGAGCCGACATCTTCGGCTCTTTCTGTGATCGGTGATCCGCTGTGTCCGAGGGACACAGCGCACCATCTATCCCTGAGCCACACATGCGCAATGAGAATGGGAGGAAGTCATATGACATCCTCCCAGGACGAGAGAACCACCTTGCGCCCGTCATATTACTATATGGTGGGCGGGAGGTGGTTAAACATGTCCAGTAAAAAAATTTGAAAAAAAATCAAATTCATCATAAGTTTAGGCCAAAATGTATTCTGGTCCATGTGTTTGCTGGAAAAAAAAATCCCAATATGTGTAAATTAATTGGTTTACGTGAAAATTCTAGTGTCTACAAATGGTGGCATATATACTGGAATTTTTAAATTTTAATAAATTTTGTTTTTATGCTAGTAATGGCAGCGATCAGCGACTTATAGCGGGACTGCCAATGGCATGCGCCCCTACCCGGAAATGAAAATCACGTGTATATATACACATGATTTTGCTCAGCTCTGCCGCTCTGTAGCAGTAATCGTACTCTAGGCCGGCGGACAAGCAGTTAAAGCAATCCCAGTTTGGAAGTTTGTTTACATTGGCTATCTCTGAGCCTGTTGACTGCATTACTGCAGATAATTCTATGAGCTGTCTATACTAACTGAAGGAGAAGCAAGCACTTCTCTGGGTTGAGGTCTGCACTGCTATTAATTTTAACCACTTGCCCTCCAGAGGATTTACCCCCCCCCCCCCCCTTCCTGACCAGGCCATTTTTTGTGATATGGCGCTGCATTACTTTAACTGACAATTGCGCGGTCATGCAACACTGCGCCCAAATGAAAAGTGTTTTCATATACAGTCAATATATACATTTGATTTGCGTATATATTGATTGTATATGAAAACACTTTTTTGGGATTTGGATATTTTATTTTTACATGCTTATGCATGTTTTGCACTTTTCATGCGTTTTTCTTAAGTTTAATTTTGCACGTATCACTATTTAGTCTGATTTGGGCTAAGTTTATATATTTGTTACACCATCACTTTGGATTCTAACTTTGGTTGTATACACAATTTTATACCATACAATCAGTATTGGTAAATCTGAAATTACCATCTTTTGAATGGTTCAACATTCACCGTGTACACTTTGCATCCATGTAGGATCAGTTCACTGTTTATGGTTTTGTTGCACATTGTGTCACCTTTTATACACTTTTTCATTTATATGTTCATTTATATAGTATTAATATCAATATTATCACCAGAGTAGCGCTGCATCACTTCCGTATTTTTAAAAGTCACATATCGGTGCAACAGTTTGTCAAGTTCGAAGTTTTAATAAAAGGTATACTAAAAAGTATACTAAAGTTAATTTTAGTGCACACAAATGCAGTATATTACCTTATTTTTAGTCAAATATAAAAGATAAGGTTGCACTGAGTAAATCTACAGAGTACTGAAAATGTCAAGCCTTAAAATTGTGTGTGCTCATGAAATGGTGACAAACTTCAGTACCCTACATTTTTATAGGCAGCACTTTAAAGGGTCATCAGTTTAGATTTAACCATGAATAATAGGCTCTGACTTGAGCGTGTGCAACAACATGGAATGTGTAGCGCAGTCAATGGTTTTGTATGTAGGTACCCTCAACAATTGCATTTATATTCATGTGGGGGGCTCAAAAAAGTTTTTTTATGGGGTGTTTTTATCTGCTTGGGTGTAATTTTTTTAAAAACATTTTACACTGTCCTTTTTTTTTTTTTTTTTCTTATTAATTTAAATCCAATAGCCCCATATGATAACATATTGTATAGTCACTGCTGGGAGGGGGAGCTGTTGAGGACATGCATCGATCAGCCATAATATTGTGACTACCCACCTAATTTTGAGTAGGTCCCCCTTTTGCCACCAAAACAGCCCTGGCGCATCAAGGCATGGACTCCACTAGACAGCATCACACTGCCCCTGCTGGCTTTTTTCCCAAATTGCATCTTGGTGCAATCGCTTCCCCAAGTAAGTGACACACACTTGGACGTCTACATGATCTAAAAGAATTCATCAGACCAGGCCCCCCTTCTTCCATTGCTCTGTGGTCCAATTTTGATGTTCATGTGCCCATTGTAAGCACTTTTGGCTGAGAATATGGGTATGATGCACTGTTCATTCTGATGCCTTTCTATCAGAACCAGCGTTGACTTTTTCAGCAGTTTCAGCTACATTAGCTCTTCTATTGGATTGGACTATACAGACCATCCTTCACTCCCCATTTCCATAAATGAGCTATGGCCACCCATGACCTTGTCACCGGCTTTCCTACCTTGGGCCACTTTTGGTAGGTCCTTCCCTCTGCAGACCGGGACCATCCCACAAGATCTGCAGTTTTGCTGTGGTGTGCCAATGTTAACGCCAAATACAGAGTTGACAGATGGCACCCCTTGTCAAATTCTTTTATATTATTATTATACAGTATTTATAAAGCGCCAACAGTTCGCTCAGCGCTGTACATTACAATGGGAGACAATACATGAGACAGTACAATAACAATACAATGCGATACACGAGGGGTTCGAGGGCCCTGCTCCTTGGAGTTTACAATCTAGGAGGAATATATAAGTGAATGAGGTTGTGCCATAATTTTGAGCCAAACGTTCACAAAAAAAAAACGCTAACCACCTTTCACCATCCTTTGAAACGTGATCCACCGCGGATCAGGGGGACAATAAACGATACTGTTCGTGTGTAAGGAGCCTTACTGTTTGTTTGGAATATGTAAATACTTTAATGTCCATAGCCTGATTAGTTACATTTTAGGTGTTGGCAAGGGCAATTGAGAAATTAAGAATTTTTTTAAATGTAATTTCAGTTCCATTTAAGGAATTTTACAACCTGGGATTCATTTAGCAATCTCACGTAGCCAGATTTTCTAAGAAAAAAAACATAGTTCAAGGAGTTTCCCATATTGCAAAATATATATGCTGTCCAGATCAGTGAGAGAAGGGCAATACTACATTAAACACGTTTCAATTAACAGCTTTCTTTGGGCCCCCCCCCCCCCTGCTAAGAAAAAGTCATTACAGCTATAAGAAGAGATTTCTCACTGAAATTATGGGATGATGTGAAGTATTTCAGCCATTTCAAGGTGGATTATTGGCAACCAGATACATTTTATAGTTTGACTACAGATTTGAGAATTTAAATAGCCTGCCAGACATCAGAGCTAACTAGGGTGATGACCTGACTTTTCTCTGCTGTGACTTTGCTCTGTAACACAGCCTGGTCACCTGCCCAGCAATCTTTAATTTGATTGGGACCAGCAGCATACTGATGAGCCTGACCCATTGTTCACTCCTGTCAGCATGTACTGGCCATCCCTCTTCCAGTATCAGTGTTGACATGCAAGAAATGACAAGAGACTGAGACCAAGGCAAATTCAGGTACTTGTATTAGCTATGAAATGTCCAGCTGGCTGAATCTGGACCCTTATTACACCAGATAGCAACATGTTCTTGGATACACAAAACATGGTCTCCACCTATTTTTTTTTTTTTTTCAATGAAGCAAAACAGGGAATTGCCAAGGCCTGGGAGTATTTACTACCTACTAAAAGTAGAGTATACGTGCCCTTTGCTTTATGAGAAACTGACAGCTCCTGTATAAATGTTTGCCTTGGCAAATTTCAGGTGGATGCTATGGGTTAGGTTAACTGTGGGTAACCTTTGGTGGCGTCTGGCATTGGCAGCAATTGTTTTCCAAAATGTGTTGTAAATTTATTTTTGCAGCTAGAAAGCAGTGATTTAATTTAATGTGTAGCAATTCAGTTGAGTGGCAAGAGTAGTGCATGTCTTTAGTGTGATGAATTATTATTATTATTTATACAGTATTTATAAAGCGCCAATAGTTCGCTCAGCGCTGTACATTACAAAGGGGGACAGAACATGTGACAGAACAATACCAATACAATGCAAAACATGAGGGGATCGAGGGCCCTGCTCCTTGGAGCTTACAATCTAGGAGGGAGGGGATGGTGGCACAGGAGGAGATAGCTGTGGGGGATGGAGTGGTAGGAAGAGTGGAGGAGGTTGGCAAGTTAGCAGGGGGTGGGGTAGGCTTCCCTGAAGAGATGGGTTTTCAGGGTGCGCATAAAGGAGAGGAGAGTAGGTGATAATCTGATGGGTTGGGGCAGGGAGTTCCAGAGGATGGGTGACACCCTGGAGAAGTCCTGGAGGCGGGCATGGGAGGAGGAGACCAGGGAACTAGAGAGAAGGAGGTCTTGTGAGGAGCGGAGTGTGCGTGTTGGGTGGTACTTGGATATTAGGTCAGTGATGTAGTTCGGGGCAGTATGGTGGACAGCTTTGTACGTCAGTGTTAGGATTTTGAATTTTGTGCAGATGTCATCATAAGACAGAGTTTCTCTACCAGGGTTCCATGGCACCCTAGGATTCCTCCAGAGGTTTCTAGGGGTTAATTGAGCAATTTCTGCCTTTCAAATAAGTTCCCACTGACACCATTGATCTTTTTAGCTATCTATAAGGGGGAATTCTTCCCAATAACCACCAGCGTAAGGAGCATTCTTCCCACTGACCATTACATGAGTAGTTGATGCAGTGTTTTTAGCAGGGGTTCCTTGAGCCAAGAAGGGTATCTCAAGGGTTCTTCTGTGTTGAAAAGGTTGAGAAAGGCTGTTATAGGGGAACTAAGTGCCCTAAATAGTACCCTGTCTATAAACATTGGAGAATGTTCACCTAATCTACCCCATATTTATATACCAGTATGCCTTTCCAGATGCCCCTTGCTGACCCTATATGGGGGGGTAGGATTTATTTGGTAGGGTGGATTTACCCAGGCAATCTTTACTGTTTTTTGCTAAAAAATCTAGTGCTGGTCTCTTTCTTCTTCCATTTCTCCAGACATGCAAGTTCTGTTCCGGAGAATATTGGTTTAGCAGCAGGATCCTGCATGCATGGCTGGCTACCATTGTTTGCACATTACTCTCCCTTCAGATTCCGATTTGTCTCTGTTCAAGTGTTCCTTGTAAATATCTCAGAAAAGATGAAAGGCTTACTGCAGTAAAACACAGGGCACTGCTGCAGATGCCCGCACTTTGTTCACAATTCTGGGTGAAGCAGTAAATCCGTTACGAGAATAGAACATTGGCAATAGTACATAGAAACATCACCTAGTCACACCACCTGTGGAAAGACCTGAATAACCGTCTACCGCAAAAACAAAATTACAATATCAGAAAGAAAAAAAAAATTAGAGTCCGTAATTCCAAACTGCACTTAGTGAGTCACTTACCCTGGGTCAGTAACTCAGCAGTGAGCAGGGAGGTTACTGATTTGGGTCAGTGAATCAGTAAAAGCTTGCCTTACACACACAGATTTCTGATGAACAGAAATTTCGCCATTTGGGCTAAACAATGTGAACGGCCATTGTACTTTTACTGCCGGCTGTCAGAACACCCAAACAATGCCTGCATCTGATTGGGTGCAGGCACTGTTCAGCCAACAATTTTCTGACCGGCTTTTCATTTTTCAATCAAAGGTTGAAGGGCAGAGAGGTGCCTACAGGACCACCCAATTACTGATTTCGGATGGTTCAGTACAATGTAAAGGAAGTCTAAACTTCAAAAGCTAGTCATAAATGGCTTCTCCTGTGTTTCTGTTTTGACAGATTCCCTTTAAAGCAGATTGTATTCAGAATCAATATTTCTGCTTTGAGTTTAAAGTGGTAGTAAACGCTCATTTTTACCTACAGGTAAGCATATAGTACATATAGTAAAGCTTACCTGTAGGTAAAATTAATATCTCTTACACGTTCACTGTTTGGGAGATATTCTAGTGAGCGGCAGCCGGTGACATCACCGGCACACGCACTCTGAATGAATGGTATACCTGTGCTGTTCTTTCAGAGCTCTGTGCCATGGTCGTGACTCCCACGCGCATGTGCGGGAGTGATGTCATCGTGGCACCACCGTTCAAGGGGCTGCAGCCCACGAACGCGAAAGGAAGACAGAGTGAAGATGGAAGCCTTTGGAGTGGTCACAGTGCGCTGCTGGAGGGCTCAGATAAGTCTTTCATAATGTGCTAGTGTGCATACTAGCATATTATCCCTTTACCTTGCAGGGGGTTTTTTTGTTTTTTGTTTTTTTATCCTTTACTACCACTTTAAAGTGAGCCTGTGCCCAGGTTATGTAACTAAAGTATTTACATATGCCCAAGTGATAACAACTTTATAGTGACAATAAACTGTGGTAAGAAAAATCTATTCATACGTGTAATTCTTAACTCGTGAAAGTAAAGTAACTTCTATTGCTCTCAGCCTCCTCCCATATTTTTTTTTGGCTGCCGTGTTCGGACTTCCTGTTGGAGGTGACAATGTTCGCTCTCCATGGTCCCATTGTATGTATGAACGTAGCCACCCTCTCTTGCTCACTCCCTAGATAAACTATGTACTATGGGATTTGTAGAGTCGTTAGAACAGTACATGATTACAACTACACTACTTGTTCTGAACAAGCAAAATTGAGAGGGAAAAGGAGATGTTTTGGAACTTGTGAGGGGGCATTACAAAGAGTCAGAAAAACTCACAAAGAAACCGTTTTGTGAAAAATAGATTGCAGGGCCAATGACTCCTTCCCTGCCACCCCTCTATTTCTCCTCAACCCCCCCCCCCCCCCCTACAAACCCCGATCCACTTGTAGCTGCCCCCACTGCAGCTGTCAGCTTCCCTTCTCTGCCCTCCCACTTGGCTTGGGTGCTGCAGGGCAGCCACAGAGAGAACGATCAGCCAGAATCAAACCCCCCCCCCCACCCTCTCTGAAGCCCCGTCAATGCCCCCCACCTCCCTAATGGCCCGGGCACCTCCTTCTTGATTCTGCTAGTCATCTTTTGTAAAATCTGCTGTTTTGTATCTGCTAAAAATGATTTTAGCGTATTTTTTAGTGAAAATAATGATATGATATACATTTGCGCAAATATCATGGGGCCCTAAAAATCAGTAGCATCTACTTTTTATTTTACTGGTCATGTGCTTTCAGAAAATATATGGTTTGGGGGGTCTTTTACAGACTCTGAAAGCTGTAAGGGAAAAATAAAAAGAGCAATTGAAAAACTGCAAAAATGGTCTGGCCACCTGAGTTTAAAAGTGGAGCGCAGGCCCTGGTGGCGAAAGGCCTAAAGGATACGTTTACCTTTTGGGGACGTTACATGTTCCACCGGTTTTGGCACACGCAATCTGCTGATTGCAATGCGTTTTAGTCTGCAATGTTAAAAAATAATAAATGCACATTTTGTTTACCTGCACAAATATGTGCATTTGTTTATTTAATTTTGATAAAAGGTGAACTTATCCTTTAAAGTTCTTGTAGCACTTTTTAATAGTTATTTAAATTTCTACTAATCCTCACCACCTACAGCTTCATAAACCAGTACAATTGTTAATTAAGTGTTCTTGCATGGCAAGACCACTTGCTGTTATCTCACATATATATTCTTATTATTATAGCCAAATTTACCACCCTAACTCCTCCCACAGTTTTTACACTACATAGACAGTAATATACCAAAACGTGCGGATTGTTCCAGATCGGTGTGCTATTACTTTGTGGGACGTTTCGCCGAATGGTTCACGAAATATCAGCGTTTTTGTGGTGAAATTGGTCCCATAGGAATGAATGGAAGAATCCTGATAGTTTTCACAATATGACCATTTGTTTGTAACTCACGCCGCCCATTGACATTCATTGAAACTGCACTCTAGCCACCTCAAATTTGAAGGGCAATTTCTAAACTGCGACTGTGCCTTCATTTTTAATATTTACTCAAGCCACTCCACCCAGTTACTCCATCCACTCCAGTTGTAGACTACCGGTGGAGGCAAGAACACTTCACACAATTTCCCCAGAAATTGTAGCTTTTATAGTTGGTTATAAACAAAGCTTCATCAGAATCTGTCAAGATTCTGTGGAATTTTTATGTTCAGCAAGGTTATGTTGAAAGGATAGGTTTACCGTTTCAAAATAAATAAATAAATGCACGTCTTTCTGCATGTGAAAATGTGCATTTATTTATTTTTTTTCTAGCCTGCAGGGCATTACACCCTTGATCAACAGATCACGGGTGCAATCTCAGGCTCCTGCAGACTCTTAGCATAGCTCTCTGCCAATACCACGTACGGGCAGGTAGTTAGCTGAAAGCAAGAAGAATCGGTGAAATAGCAGAACACTTAGCCGGTGCCCTCAATGTTCATTAACAGCCTCCCGCCCGCCATATAAGGAAATGACAGGAGCAAGGTGGTTTTCTCGTTCTGGGAGGACGTCGTATGACAGCGTGGCGATCAGTGGTGTGCTGTGTCCCTTTGCCACAGCAGATCACCGATCAGCGGAAAGAGCCGAAGACGTCTGCTCGATCATGTGATCAGCTGTGTCCAATCACAGCTGATCGCATGTAAATAAGGAAATGCCGGTTATCGGCATTTCTCTGCTCACGAGCTGTCACTCGGACAGCTCAAAAGGAGAGCCAGTAATCGGCATTATTCAGAGGGGACATGTACACTGATCATCAGGGCATTGATGATCAGTGTGCCCTGATGATCAGTGTAGCCCCAGCAGTGCCACCTGTCAGTGTCCAATGCCAGCTGTCAGTGCTCATCAGTGCCACCTGCCAGTGCCTACCAATGCACATCAATGCCACATATCAGTGCCCATCTGAGCTGCTTTTCAGTGCTGCCTATCAGTCCCAGTCAGTGCCGCCTATCAGTGCCATATATGAGTGCTGCCTTTCAGTGCCCATCAGTGATGTCTGTCAATGCCCATCAGTGCCACCTACCAGTGCCTCCTCATCAGTGCCACCTATCAGTACCCATCAGTGCAGCCTATCACTGCAGCCTCATTAGCGCACATCAGTGAAGGAGAAAAATCACTTATTTACAAAATTTTATAACAAAAACTAAGAAAAAAAAACTTTTTTTTTTTTTCCCAAAATTTTCTGTTTTTTGGTTTGTTTATCAAAAAAATAAAAAACCTGCAAAAGTTATTACTGTATTCAATTGTGAACCATATTAATGCACCTTGTTTTGTGCTAAAATCTTTCAATAAAAACATTTGAAATAAAAAATAAAATACCTGAGGTGATTAAATACTACCAAAATAAAGCTCTATCTGTCTTAAAAAAATTATAAAAATTTCTTATGAGTACACTGTTGCATGACCACGCAATTCTCATTCAAAGTGCGACAGTGCTGAAAGCTGCAAATTGGCCTGGGCAGGAAGGGGGTATAAGTGCCCTGTAGGCAAGCGGTTACCAATGGCTGATGGTACTTGTAAACATTTATTGACAGAAAACTGTGACTATTTGGGCAAGCTACCTTATTTTTGAATTGTGACAGTGGGTGCGAAGATTCCCCCACCAGCTGTCACAGGGAGGGGGGATCAGGGGGGGGGAGAGGCTGCAGATGATGGAACACGTTATAAGGATGCACTGATACCTGTTTTTTGCCGGCGAGTACGAGTAATATTTGTGCTCCGGTACTCGCCAATACCAGTTACCGATACCTTTGCGGTGCAATTTGAGCCTGTATAAAATGAATGGGTTCAAATTGCAGAGAATTGCATGTGATTTGAGCAGGAATGCGGTGCGATTCCTGTCCAAATCACATGCGGTTTCCCGCACAGCTTCTGTATGAACCCAGGCTGAAGTCACTATGGGGGAAGAAAAATGCACGTGATTCAGACAGCGCACATCATTCCTGTTCAAATCACATGCGACTCTTTGCGAATTGAGCCCATTCATTTTGTATGGGCTCCAATTGCACCACAAAGGTATCGGTTTTAGGTATCGGAGCATTTGTACGAGCATAAGAACTTGTACAAATGCTTACTGTCGGCACCGTTATCAGTATCAGTGCAACCCGAGCATATTGCATGTTCCACCCTAAAAACAGGTAACATGTTCAACAAGGTGAACGTATCCTTTAATGTCTTTCATTTCTTTAGCTCTGTAAGACATTTTTTTCTATTTTCCTTGTGCTTTTCCTTCCCGTTCCTGACTTCATTGAGGGACAGTCCCCAGCCTTTCATGCTGCAGATGTGTTTCCTTTCACTGTGAGCATAACCTCCTACTCTTACTGGTTAGAGGGGAATCCCCTTTTGATCATCTATGATAGCTGTGACATCATGCAGGATTGTTCTCTCCCTGTAAAATCCCCCTAGCATGCATCCTTATCTAAATTCTTGCACATGAATGCCCTGTCTAGTTCAGACCTTTGCAGGCCATAGACGGGTCGTTTATCGGCCGAATTTTCGTCCACACGAAAAATCGGCCGATATTCACGCCCGTCGGCCGTTTTTCACAGATCTTCTCGTTTATTTCTATCGGTCATGCTGGAAAATCCACGAAAAAAACGGCCCATTGGTGGCAGTAGCGGCAACGGCACTGACCGATTTTTTTTTCTTTTATTGGCTGACAATTTGGGCGATAAACGGCCTGTCTATGGCCTGCATTACAATGGTCTTGTAATGTATCTGACACTAAGGACACTAGACACCTGGAGGAGGGGCAGAGTAAAGGAACAAAGGTTCAGTTGTTGCCCATAGATACCAGGCAGGTTTCATCTTTTATTTTCCTGGGAAAAAACTAAGAATCTGATCCAGGGTACGTAGTTAGTCTGGCTGAAAAAAAGACAAAAGTCCATCCAGGTCAACCATTTAAAAAAAAAAAAAAATTATAATCCTAAACCCAAAGTTGATCCAGAGGAAGGAAAAAAAACCCCAACAAAGCACGATCCAATTTGCTCCTGCTGGGAAAAAATTCCTTTCTGATCCCCCGAGAGGCAATCGGATATTCCCCGGATCAACTGCTGGATAGGAGCCTCACTATCTGCAATGTTTGTTTTTTTTTTTTTCTTTTTCTTTTAAGAAAAATGTTAAACTCCTAGAATTTATGATCTGTTTACACTTGTACTGGTCACCACTTGACCCATTTCATCGGGTTTAGCCTATTAGTTGAACGGCTAGGACCTCATTCATTTTGGGCTCATTCACAAAGGAGCAAAGGGCCATGCACCGATCGAATTCAGTGTATTTCAGTTCCCAGGAGTCACAGTTGTTTACCATTAGTCTGTACAGATCAATGACCAGCTGACAAACCTCTCCGTTGTACAGTTTGCATCCAGGGTCACTCTCGTTCAAATGTTTGTCCAGCCGTGTCATCTCCATTGATTTGTATAGGCTGCTGGCTGTGACCACAAACACCCTTGGCTTTTGACTACAGAAATACACTGAATTCTGTTGGTGTATGACCTTCTGTGCCCGTGTGTGAATGAGTCCATTAAATGCATAAGGCTTGCTTTATGTTAGTACATTAATGCATCATGCCGCTCCGTTCTGTGTTAGGGCAACCTATTCAATTTGAACGGGCTTTCAACGCACCCCAACGCACATAAAAACGCACTTCCCCATAATATTGTTTGTTCCCATCTTAACAGCACAGGCGCTTTTTAAAAATATGACGTGCGTTTTTCTCTACATTTAGGTGCATTTCGAGGCTCATAGAAATCAATGTCAAAGCATCAAAACATATACAGGAATTATTAAGCCTTGGCTGTTAACTCTGTCCGCTCCAGATTCTAAATTCAAAACACACTGAAAATGCTTCTCAGTGTTTGTTAGAATGTATGTTTAACACATGACAATGCACACGCCTGATGCTACAAAAAGAAACTACACTTCTTTACGCATGAATGGATCTGTTTCTAGATTGTAAGCTCCCAGGATCAGGGCCCTCCTTTCCCTATTGTATTGAACTGTATTGTTGCTGTATTGTCTCCCGTTCTATTGTAAAGCGCTGAGCAAACTGTTGGCGCCATATAAATCCTGTATAATAATAATAATATAATAATAATCTACAGTGGGTATAGAAAACAGGCCTAGTGCATTACCTTAAAAAATGTGATTTATTAATAAACAGTAAAATACTCACAAAGAAATGTAAAATCAAATTTAAAATGGGAATCATGTCGCAAGGGATGCAGAGTGGTTCAGGAACCCCTGTGGGTGGTCTGGTGGGGGACTGTGAGCCTCTGGATAGCTGGCGACTGACGCGTTTCGAGGTTGTACCTCTTCCTCAGAGCCAGTCTCTTTGGATTTCCCTGGTCCGTTGAGGGCAGCAAGGCCTGCATTTCTCTAACTCAGTGGTTCTCAACCTTCCTAATGCCGTGACCCTTTATTACAGTTCCTCATGTTGTGGTGACCCCCAACCATAAAATTATTTACCCAGTAATTATAATTCATGAGTGTCGTTTTATTTCCAATACTGCTGCTTTCAACACAGCAGCTGCTTTCTACACAGTAGCTGCTCTTTACACATCGGAAATATGTGTTTTCTGATGGTCTTAGGGGACCCCTGTGAAAGGGTCGTTCGACCCCCAAAGGGTCGCGACCCCAGGTTGAGAACCACTGCTCTAACTCATGTGGGTGTACTAATATTGTGGAGTCCACAGTTCAGCGCAGGAGCCCATGCATTCGGTTGCTACATTCTTCTTTATGGATCTACAGTGGTTATAGAAAAGAATCCCCCCCCCCCACCCCTTTTTAAAATAATCACATGTTGTTCCTTTGCAGCCTGAAATGAAGACAGACACAGTTTTTGTTTTATCCAGCTGTATTTACTCAGTGCATCTTATAACAACCAAGTTAAAGATATAACACCAACATGTCTGAAAAAAATACAAAAAAAAATCAAAAACAGAATCACTGAGTTGGAAAAAGGATCATCCTCTTGTGTCAGTATTTTGTTTAACTTTCTGGCAGAGGGCAGCAGATTTTCCTCAAGAATGTGACGGTATTTTGCCCCATCCATTTTTCCTTCCATCCTGGCAAGCGCTCCAGTTCCTGTTGCAGAGAACTCCCCATAACAGGATATTACCCCCTCCATGCTTTACTGTAGGAATGGTGCTATTTGGATGGAGAGATGTATTGGATTTCCACCAGACATATCATTTAGTGTTGAAGCCAAATAATTCAATGTTAGTCTCATCTGACCACAACCCCTTTTTCCATGTGGCCTTGGAATCTTCAAGGTGCGTTTTGGCAAAGCTGACTACATGTGGCCTTTCTCGAGGAGCGGCTTTTTTCTTGCAACCCTCCCATACAATCCATATTTATGGAGAATTTGTAATATTGTTGTCATATGCACACAATGACCACTCTTTGTCATCAATTCCTGCAACTGCTTCAGAGTTGCTGTAGGCCTCTTGGTAGCCTCTCTGACCAGTTTCCTCCTGGCTCTGTCATCCAGTTTGGAGTGAAGTCCTGGCCCAGGGAGAGTCTGTGTTGTACCAAATACCTTCCACTTCTTAATATTAGAATTCACTCTGCATTCTAGGCATTGATAAAACCTATTGAATTTTTTTTTTTGTATACATCTCTTGACTTGTGTTTGTCCACAACTTTATCCGAGAGATATTTTGACAGTGTCTTGCCACCCATAGTTGATTGTTTGCTTCAGTTACACTACCAGGGACAGAAATGCTCCAGGAAAGCTCTTTTCATGCTGAGCTAATCAAAATTACCACAGCTGTTCACAGGTGAAAGTCAAATGGCTTTGTGTGCTATTGAGAGGGTGATTAGCTACAACTAATTGAGTTTACAAGTCATTTTTAGGAGGTGGGTTATACTTTTTTCAACTCAGTGATTCTGTTTTTGATTATTTTTTATTTTTTCCTGACATGTTGGTGTTATATCTTTCACTTGGATGTTGTAGGTTTCACTGAGTAAA